AGTGCTGGGATTAAAGGCGTGCGCCACCACCGCCCGGCCTAGAAACCGAAACATTTTATGTGAAAAAGCAGCATAAAGATTAACCAGCATAGTATGGCTTCACTGTCATCTGCCTAGTCTCTGTCTGTTTCCAGACACTTCCCAGAGCATGCTGGGAATCTGCTTCAGGGGCATAGAGCTCTCTTTTCTTCACTGTCTGTTTTTTTCCTGCAGCGGTCAGAGGAAGTTGTGAGCACTGCAGTTATTCCCAACACCAAGATCAACTCCATCTGCAGGGGGCTGAGGAAGAGAAGCAGGCATGGTGAGCACCCGCACTGCCAGGTTCTCCTCACATTTTTCCTCACGCTTTGAGGACACAAAATAGATTTTTTTTTTTGAGACAGGGTTTCTCTGTGTAACAACCTTAGCTGTCCTGGAACTAGCTCTTGTAGATGAGGCTGGCCTTGAACTCACAGAGATCCGCCTGCCTCTGCCCCCGAGTGCTGGGATTAAATGCATGCACCACCATTGCACGGCCTACAAAATGAAATTTTAAATAAATTCCAGACAAAATGCCAACATTTTAAGCAGAAATCCCAAACTCGAGTTGAAGTTATGGCTGGTGGTAAAATTCGAAGCAAGTGCATTGCAGCACGTGTTGGTAAGCCACTCTTCGGTGGGCAGCAGGCGTGCAGGAGGTGGTACCCATGCTGGATGTCCAGTCTGTGCCGTCACCAGGATGTCACTTTCTGAAATGACTCAGCTATGGCTTGTCATTAGGCAAGTTAAACATTATATCCAACTTTCAAAACACCATTTCTCACATTGAATCTTGAATATGCCTTCTTAAAATAGGGAAGATTAATTTTCCCTAAAATGGCTATAGCGTAGCTACAGATCCAGTGAGCCCTAACCATGGGCCGTCATGGAGAAGGGTTGGGAACATTTGGCTGGTGATTTTTATTTTGTAATTTATCTAGGACTAGATTTTTAAGATAGAAACCAACAACCTAATGATGACAGTAAATAGTTCTACAGAAGGTAGCTATAAAGGCAGACATACAAATATATTTGTGTATGCATATATATAAACATACATATAGACATACATGACATATTGACATTCTTAGATGAGTATCAGAGAGAATGCTGAAATATTAACACATTTTAAAAAACGACTTAAAGATTATTTTATGTATTATATGTATGTAGGTGTTTGTCTGCACGTATGTGATGTGGGATTCCCCTCTGTATACTGTGAATACCATTGGTTAATAAAGAAACTGGCTTGGCCTGGTAGGTAGAGTAGGGGGAGGGGACTAAACAAAATGCTAGGAGAAAGAAGGCGGAGTCAGGAGAAGCCAGAAATATGTTTAAGCCATTGGCCAAACAGTATTGTAAATAATATGGTTTTTGTGTCATTATTTTGGGGCTGAGCAGCCGGGAACAAACAAGCGGCCTCCTACAACACATATGTCTATGTACCATGTCTGTGTGTGTGCAGGCCAGTGTCTGTGTTAGACCCTCTGTGACTGGAGTTAAAGAGGGCTGTGACCCACTCTTGAGGTGCTGGAAACCAAACCCAGGTCCTCTTTGAGAGCAGTGAATGTTCTTTATCACTGCACCGTTCATCTCTCTAGCCCAGTAGTGACTTTTTATAGCCTAAAACCTGAATAATTTTATTCAGTTTTATCAGAGTAAAACTTGATTAATTGTTACTCATATATGTAAGTAGTTAAAATGTATAGTTTGGGCTTAAATTGTCTACAGAACCTTGGACGCTCTGCTTTGTTAGGTGTGTCTCATAGTCAAGGCGGTAGTCACTGGCACTTTACCTGTGAAAGGAGAGTAACGCCCATTGTTAGTTACAGCAGTCGCTTGTGGGTGGTGTAAAACATCAGTGTCCAGGTTTATATGGCTGTGTGGGAGCCCTGTGCATACAGACAGCTCGAAGGGGTCAAACCCTCTTAACCTCTGGGTCATCAGAAACCACAGGCTTTTGGTTATCCCTGAGACTCTTTCCCGGAAGGATTGGACAGTTAGTGGGGACAAGGACATCTTGCGTTATGCGTTAATCTGGCGAGTGAAAGGAGTTCGAATCTTCGCCCTGTGCAGAGAAGTTACGTGGGAGTCAGGCAGACCTCAGAAGCCATGTGAGAAGTTTGAATAGCATGCTTTTGAACACATTTCTGTATTTGTCCGGCAGCGGCAGATAAAGCACAAGGATCATAACCACTGTGACATTTTTTCAGCTGATCATTACTGTAATTAACATGTAATTCTGACTGCTTTGGCAGATTTTCATATGCCTTCTTAGGCTGTTGAATAGTCCATTTAAAATACTTAGGAGCTGGGAACATGGCTCCATCAGTGACCTACCTGACATACAAAAGAACTGGAGGGCAGATCCCCAAAACTTATATAAGCTGCTAATGATAGCATGTGTCTGTAACCCCAGTATTGAAAGGAATAAGGCCGGTAGATGCTTGAAGCTTATTGGCCAGCCATCCTAGCCAAATCGGTAAGTTCTAGATTCACTAAGAGACCTCATGTTAAAAAGTAAAAAAAAAAAAAATAGAGATGGAAGGACTGGAGAGATGACTCAGTGGTTAAGAGCACTTGCTTTGTTGGGACCTTCACTCAATTCCCAGCACTCATTGGTGGCTTACAACTGTCTGTAAATGAGCTCCAGGGATCTTGGGTAGCATGCATATGCATGTGGTACATACATACGTACGTATATACAAGCAAACATCCATACATATGAAGTGAAATAATAGTAATTTTTAAAAGATGTATCATGTTCAAGGAAGACCTTGCCACTGATCATAGACCTACACATACCCGCACATAGCCACATACAGCCCACCTACTTGTGTACATATACCAACAATTGTAAACACTGTACACAAAACCACCCACATACACATTTTAAAAGGGAAAAAATAAAATGCTTAGGACACATTTGGTACCTAGGTGTTGCAAGGAGAGCGAGTCCTTTGTTCCCATTATTGGGCTAGCTTACACCCGAAATAATCACACAGAAATTGTATTAATTAAATCACTGCCTGGCCCATTATCTCTAGCCTCTTATTGGCTAACTCTCACATCTTGATTTAACCCATTCCTATCAATCTGTATTTACCACGAGGTCGTGGCTTCCTGGGAAAGATTTAGCATGTCTGACCTCTTAAGAGCTGTAGGGTTTTGCAGCTAAAGCTGAGTCAGGAAGCCTCTCTTAGATGAGAGCACTTACTTACCTCTAGCAAGCAGAGCAGACCCAAGAAATTGTTGCTACCAAGAAAACATGCTTTACTCTATTCTTTCCCAAGCTTTCTCAGGCTTTACGTGGAGTTCAGTCATCCACGTCTGGGCGCCATTCTGTTGAAGGGAGCTGCGGGCTTTAATTTTAACATAGTAAAATTACATATAGCAAAACAGTTATCAAGCAAGAATTACAGTTGCAATATTTATGTCTATTTTATCTTTTATCATAACAAAGGAAAACTATAACTATCTATTCTTCAGCTCTATCAAGGACTTCAGAAGGATATAATATTACCTATGTAAACTAGAAGTGCATTATAAACAACTTCCAAAACTCTAGAATTGACAGAGACATCTTGCTGCCTAGACAGTCACCCAAAGTTATTCTGTACTGTTGGGGCATCCATCTTCATCCTACAGGCCCATAGTATCCACCAGACATTTTCATGAAGCAGCAAATTTTAAAGACAGTTCAGTCACTTTCTTCTGTGTCCTGTAGAATGTCTCACAGACTCCATCATGAAATAGGAACCCTGAAAGACCATATCACCTTTAGGCAAGTTCAGCAGTCCTCTCTCTGTGGGTACTGCATGTCCAGTGAAGCAGTCCAGGCAAGAACAGTTTCTTGCCCAAATGGCTAGCAAACTCCATAAGGAGCCTTTTCGATGCC